ACTAAGATGTTTCTCTGCATAGTCCCTTTTTTGGTCGGCTTTTTGTTTGCAAGTTAAATCGTCAGGGTTTCGGTGTGTTTTTGAGTCTTTCGTCCTCAACATACATTTTGCTCGTCATTTTTTTTAATTCGCTTTTGTGATTTTCTTTTGAGTTTCCGCGTCATGCGTTTGTGCTCTTCCTGTTTTTTTTCGTTAATCTCTCTCTCGCTCTCTCCTCTCTTCTCTCTCCTCTCTCTCTCTCTCTCTCCTTCTCTCTCTTCGTCTCGTCTCTCTCTCTCTCTCTCTCTCTCTCTCTCTCTCTCCTCCTGCCTGTCTGTTGTCTGTCTCCTCTCTCTCTCTCTCTCTCTCTCCTCTCTCTCGGTCTCTCTCTCTCGTCCTCTCTCTCTCTCTCTCTCTCTCTCTCTCTCTTCTCGTTCTCTCTCCTCTCCCCTCTCTCTCTCTCCTCCTCTCTCTCCCCTCTCTCCTCCCCCCTCCCCTCTCTCTCCTCTCACCTCTCTCTCCTCTCTCTCCTCTCCTTCATCTCCCCTCCTCCTTCTTCGGCTTACTTCTCCTCTCTCTGCCTCTCTCTTCTCTCTCTGCTCTACTCTCCTCGTCTCTCTCTCCTTCTCTCTCTCTCTCTCCTCTCTCTCTCGTCTCTCCATCTCTCGTCTGTCTCTCGTCTGGTTCCTCCTCAAGTCAGCTCTCCACTCTCCTCCTACCGACTCTCTTCACGTTCTCCGGTACGGATCTCCCTCCTCCTCATCCGTCGTCATCTCTCATCACTCTCACTCTCCTCTCTCTCTCTTCTCACTCTCTCTCTCTCCTCTCTCTCATCCGTTATCTCGGCTCTCGATACATCTTTCCTCCTCTCCTCTCTCCTCTCTCTCTCTCTCCTCTCAGTCTCTCTCTCGTAAACGCGCGCCTTCTTCCTGTTTTTCCTTTTCACTCAGTTCAACGCTCGCTTCGGTCTTACCAACAACACCCCTTGAATCACTGCTCGTCGAGCACCTTGAATTCAACTGCTCTCCTATATATGACTGCTCGTCCTCTTCGCTATTTTTTTACTGGAATTTCCGGTCCGTTATCCGACCTTTCTGATTCTCTCTCTCTCTCTCTTCTCCAACTCTCGTCTCTCTCTCCTCCGTTCGGTGGGAAGGAGGGCGCGGCGCCGGCTAGTCCTCCACGACCTGAGGCCCACCCGCTTATTTTTTTACTGTGAATTTTTCCGCCTTTTCGCCTCCTGATTCCCCGATCAGCAGCTCTCTCTCCTCTACTCGGTCACATCTGGATTTCGCCGGCGTTTCCTGATTCTCCTCTCTCTCAATCTCTAGTCTGCTGGATTCTCTCGCTCCTCTCCTCTCTCCTCTCCTCATCCGCTCCCTCTCTCTCTCTCCTCCCAGCTTATCTGAGATTCTCATTTCGTCTCTCTCATCTCAGTAATCGAGTGGTTTTATCGTGGAATTGGATAATATCAGATATTGGATTAACTACAATGTAATAAAATATTAACCGATTAAATTGGATTGATCACATTAATTGAAATAATGGAAAATGGCAATAACATAATGATGAAAATATTAAAAGTGATGATAATAATGATACCACTGCTTATACCACTAATATAAAAATAATAACAATTGTTGTAATGATACAAATATTAGTCATTGTCATATGAAAATAATAATTGAAATGGAAAATAAGGCAAAATTATTTATTACTATTATTAACATAATTACTATTATCATTACATTATTATTAATCATTATCATTATTTTTGTTATTATAATTATCATTACTGTTATTATTGCTATTTTTAACAATATTATTATTATTTCATCATCATCATCATCATCATCATCGAAGCTACTGTATGTGTAACGCGCTAGATTTTTCTTGCGTAAAGGTCATGCTGTGCATCTTTTTATCTTTTCATGAACCCTATCAAGAATTTTGATCTGGTTGTCCTTAGGGTTGTTCATAACGACACTGCTTTTGAAGTGCTCATTATACTTTACCACAATTATGTTACACAATAGGAAGTCATATGATGGACATGAGCATGCTTAACGAAGAAGACATTAGAAATTTTAAATATCATTAAAATTCTGCTTCATGCACAATAAATGAGAATGGAGAAATGACTGACAGAGTATGACGACTCATATTTCACACACAAACTGCTAAAAAAATGAAAGAAAAAAATGTATAGCTGCTCAAACATTTTACATCAAATAATTCAGCGATGAATGAATGGTTAAGTGTGATGACTAAGTAATTACCAATGATATATTAATTAGTGGAATTCATAAATACGACATGATTACTGCCTCCGTTATATTCAGCTTCAATTGTAATGAATCATCTACAGTACATCACAACTTTACGTCAGTACCACTCAGTTCATCTGCATCTTCTTCGACGAAGCTATGAGAGTTATGTTTGTGCAACATACACTTGACATTTTGTACATCATACACTTGACATTACTTTACCTGATCTCCTTTATTTCATCTTCCTGAACGCTCGTAATTATCACTTATGAATAAATATTATATAATATTCTGGTGACACTTTAATTTGTCTAATTAATCAGGTACATATAGTACGGAAATCCAGCTTCTTGGCTGAATCAAGAATAACTGTTGAAGTCTCCCTTGAGACTTCAAAATACCCCTAGGACATAAATATTTTACAATTAAACTTTCATTTACTTTATAAAATATGCAGTATTGCTCCAAGACAACAGAGAAATTAAATTAATTTGAATTTGCATGAATATGAAAATCTTGAGTTGGATTCAGTATTGTGCTTGTTAGGTCAAATTCCAGGAAAAAATCGTTGATTTTTGCAGTGCATTTCTGAGAAGATATATATGAAATCTGGACCTGGTTATCTGTACAGGGTTCAGGGATCAG